GAGAGAGAGAGAGAGAGAGAGAGAGAGAGAGAGAGAGAGAGAGAGAGAGAGAGAGAGAGAGAGAGAAAATATGAAACAACTCATTTGCAGAGGAGTAAATCACGGAATACCCGTTTGAGAGCGCGACAGGGCTCCCGCTTACAGCGCTAACACCGGAATTGTGATGCGCACGAGCCCTTCCTCCTCCTCTACTTCTCCCTCTTCTTCTCCTTCCTCTTCTTTTTCTTCTTCTTCGCTGGAGATTTTATGGAATCGGTGTGATTGTTGTTGTTGTTGCGGTGGTTGTGGCTGTTACTGCTCTGGCTGGCTGTCGTTACCGTTACTCACACCGCTCGTCTGTTGTGGCCGTGAAGGGAAACACCACAACAACGGTCACCGACACCGGCGGCAGACCTGCCTCACTCTCTCTCTCTCCCTCCCCTCCGTCTCTCTGTGTGTGTCGGTGTTTCTCTGCCTCAAAACGCACGACAGAAGCAGAAAAAAAGAAAAAAACAATTGAGAGCCGCGGGTCGCTTCCTTCAGTCCCACTCTGACTCTGCCGAGCCGAACACAAACTGAAACAACAATAAACACCAACACAAAAGATGAGTTCATATTTCGTCAACTCGCTCTTCTCCAAATATAAAAGCGGGGACTCGTTACGTCCGAACTACTACGAGTGCGGTTTCGCGCAGGACCTGGCCGGCAGCCGGCCCACCGTGGTGTACGGCCCGGGCTCCGGCGCCACCTTCCAGCACGCTCCGCAGATCCAGGACTTCTACCACCACAGCGCCTCCACGCTGCCCAGCAACCCGTACCAGCAGAGCCCCTGTGCGGTCACATGCCACGGCGAGCCGGGCAACTTCTACGGATACGACGCCCTGCAGCGGCAGACGCTTTTCGGGGCCCAGGACGCGGATCTGGTCCAGTACAGCGACTGTAAACTGGGAAGCGCGCCGGGGCTCGGCGGCGAGGACGCGGAGGGAACCGAGCAGAGCCCCTCGCCGACGCAGCTGTTCCCCTGGATGAGGCCGCAAGGTGAGGAAATGGATAAACTGACTACAGTGGTTGTTTCCGTCTTAGCTTTTTCCCTTGCTCAAAGCGAATCTTCTTTCCCGCAAGGTGAGTGTCCATGTTAGGAGCAAAGCTGCTATTCCTCCAGGAGAGGCAGACAGAGAATGTAGAGTCACAGAGAGGAGGAAAGAGTGGAAGAAAGTTGGAAAAGTGATTTTAAAAGTAACAATAGGAGCAGGGTAATTTGAGCTTCCTGCGTTCAAAGCGCGTTTATGGTTTTATTGGCAGCACCAAAACTTGTGAATGACTTTAGGGTTTAATTGCCCCGGCCATATACTGAGAGAATGGCCGGGAAGAGCCGGGATGGAAGCTCAGAGAAGGAGAAAAGCAGTCAAAAAATAGGCGAGAGATGGTGAGGAGGAGGGGGGACCTATTCGTGAGAACCCCCCTCCAAAATCTGAGAAACCCCTGCTTGGAGCAGATGGGAAAGAGTTGTTGGAGGTAGTTGTTTCCAGCCGCACAGACTCATTTTAGACATGCAGCTCTGACCCGGGTTAAACTTTTACTGCCTCTTTTTGCTTTTACGACTTGCCTGTGGTCTCCGGGATTATTTGGCTACACGGTGGCCAGTTCCCCACAGGGTTAAAGCATGGGGAGGGCAGTGCATGTGTGAATGTGTGGGTAGAGAGGATAAGGGGAAAATAAGAGTATTCTTACTCGGATGTAGCACCTTCGCAGCGTGTGTGATGTGGAAACTCGCAGGCCTGTCTGATCCGTTGACTCAAATATCAAAATCATGCCTCAAGTATCGTCCGCGTGCGTCAGTGTGAACATAGCTTGCTTTTGTGTCCTGTGTGAACACTTAGTGGTCTTTGTGTGTTTGTGGCACGCACAGTGTGTGAATATATGGATCAGGCCCGATTGGCTCAACACGATCAGATTATAAATCTTAAAGAAATCTAAAAATATTTGCATTATAGGAAAGGCGAGTTTATAATTGATGGCCTAAACCAACAGCACAATAAGACTGATTATGCAAGAGGGCATTTTTGTGTTAGAGAGACATAGACTTAAAGGTAGAGAGAGAGAGAGAGAGAGCAGTGAATGGATTGGCATGTATAGTAGCCTATTTTGTTTGAGCCCATATTTCTTAGGCAGTGCTGTGTGTGTGTGTGCGCGCGCGTGTGTGTGCATGTGTGTGTGAGTGTGTGAGTTTATTGCTTATGTTCTCGGTTGTATTTTTTAAAGTGGGACAGCAGACGGGTTATAGCCTGTACAGGACTTTTGTGGCTTCATGATTATGACCATAAAATAGAAAAATAATAAATAAAAAACAGCCCAGGTCTGCATTCACCTCGAGCTGCTTTCTCTCCACCCATGTACGACATACACCTGCTACAGATAACAGTAATAATAATAGCTAATTCACATTTACGCACGTTTTTATAAGACTATGAACACTTTTCCTCCCCAGTGCCTCCCAGCAGTGTGTGTGCTGCATCTCCTCGTTTATCTGCATTGAAGATTTTCTGTTTGTGCGGCCTGTAAATTGTCATAATTTACATCTTTAAGCCTCTGTTATATTTTCCCAAACACTTGTCCCCCCCTTGCTCCCTGACGGCTTTCCAAATCATTCCCAGCTTTAAATACGAGCGGCCACACTCATGCGCGGGGCTGAAACGACTTCTTAAGAGGTTTTGCCCTTATTTACAAACGATGACAGTGATTAGTCTCATGATTAATAGTTTTCCAACAGTGTACTTGGGCTTAACGGCGTGCCGGTCCGGCTGCAGGCAGCTCCGATCATCCTGGTGGCCGAGAAGTCAAAACAGGAAACCAGCCGCTCAAGTCTGCGCCGCTGAAGTCCGAGAATGCTGCACGCACTTACAGCCCGTGCGCGATTTGATGGGATATTATCGTTGCTCAGCGTGAGGATTTATTAGTTATAATAGCAGAAAAAGGCGGACGGTGTTTCGTAGGTAAAACGGGAGGATGGAGCGCAGCGACGGAGGCGGTTATCCTCCCCGTTTACCTCGGAAATCCCCCTTTAACGAGGGGGTACATTTCATAATTTGTACTTTAAAGAGGGATATCGCCTCCTCCACACCTTTCATATTATAACCCCAGCACCGGAGGAGGCTCCTACCCACAGAATATGTCTTGAAATACTCCTGAGCCCCCAAGCTGGAGGTTTAATATCCGAGGATTATTCTAAACTCGTGAATATGAGCCGTTTTACGACTGTTACCGCTGTGGATGGAAATCTTCATAAATCATCTCGACTTTAAAAATGAATATAGAATAAAATCTGATTAGGCCGAAGAATGAATGTAATGGTATTAGTGTCCTTTGCCTCGGATCTCATTGGCATCTGTTGTCGAGTGTAAACCTCGTTTCTCCTTTCTCCAAAATGTCAACTGCCAAGTACCATGCATTTGTTTAGGGCTTATCTAATTGGCTTTGTAAAGGTTTCATATATAATAGGTCTTAAAAATGTTTCACTATCCCAAGGCTTGTAACATTTTCTCCAACCGTAAAAGACCAAGTAATCCTTTAGCTGACGCTATGCCAAATTAATGTATTCCTCCAAAAGCGCAGTGCACTGACGCAGCCAGGGTTGGGGGTTAAATTCCCCGTGCATGTTGTTCCGTCTAAAACCCTCCGGATCAAAGCGTCCGTGCTGTCATTTTATCCAGGAAAGTGTTTCACATTTCCCTTAATTCATGGCTGGTGACAGCAGTGAATGTGGCGCCCACTTCCCTTTAGTCCCTATAGCACGAAATCACGGCGCCAGCCCTGTGACAGATAACACATACAAGACATTTACATCACTTACAAGTTCATGCATTTCCATAAAGACTCCCTTGTCTGCGTCTTGTGGCTGTTTTACCATAAAAAGCAGTCCTGTGCCCGTAGACGGGCGCAAGATGTGGAAATGCAATGAGAGCACGAGTCACATCATCCTGCTGGACTTAAGTTGGTAGTAGATATATAATGGATATTGAAGATATTTTTCACCCTGTACCTGCAGGCTTTTATAATGTGATCAGTGGAGATAGACTATAAAAGACTTGTATGTGATTATAGCACTAAATGCGCTTCCATCGAAGTCATTACCCTGTCCCTTAATTTAATCCAGAAACTTTACTGTCCTGGGAGGAGTGTGTGTGTGCGTGTGTGTGTGTGCGTGCGTGCGTGTGTGTGTGTGTGTGCGTGTGTGTGTGTGTGTGTGTGTGTGTGTCTGTGTAGGGGATCAACTCAGACCAGAAAGCTCCCAAGAGATTGGTACTCTCCAAAGACAGTGTTTTCTTTAATTTCTTTGACATATTTGAATTCCTACAGTTCTACGCAGGTGCGTTACCCTTAGCCTTTTCTTATTAACACTAAAGTCAAACCTGCCAATCATGACAAATCTCATGTTCTTCTTCTTCTTCTTCTTCTTCTTTTTTTTTTTTTTTAATTTTTCTTATTTTACTTCACACCCTTATGATCACTGGCTTTTGCCACTGGACTCATTTTATGGTAGAATAATCAAAGAAGACAAACAGTTTTATGGAAATATAATCACAAATGTCCTGTATGTGTGAACTGTCGGGGGTTTGCTGCTCGCGGTTAAATGACTCAGTTTTATTCGCTCCTATATGCTGAACTAACGTCTAGTTTGTTAGGAGCGTTGGAACATTTTAATGAGGAAGCAAGCATCGCGAGCATCTTTTCTCTCTTACAATTTATCTAAAATCTGTCTGTTATCATCCAAATGTAAGGTATAGGAGATATTTAAAACAAAATAGCTTGCAAGGACATCTTGTCTGTCTTCTCTTGCTTTATAAAATGCAGCTGAACGATAGAATTTCACAGATTAATTATTCAAAGAAGTCATGCACCTATGCTTGTCCAGCCTGTGCGCAGAAAACACACAATATCTGACCTTGTGTGTTCATATTAAGTATTTATGAATTTTATATTGTGTCTGTACACTGGGTTCTCTGCCTGCGCTGCTTCCAGATTTCAGTTTTCAGCAGAGTACTGATGACCTGTTGATAATAATAATATGTTTTTATCTTCACTCGGCATCGTTTGCACCATTTCTAATTAAAAGTCTGTGTTCGTCATGAGTGGATGCAGCTCTGTCGTCTCTGCTCTGATCCTTACGGCGCGGGGTCTTTTTTCCCTTTTAAGTGTTTACGATGTATTTATAGCATTAAATATTCATGTGCACATCTGTAAGTGCTCAGTGCATTTGTCTGTAGGTTTTCTCTTTTTATGTTAATAACTGCAGTCACTGTGTGCTGTGGGCGAGTTCCTGACGGACTGAAAGAGTTCTTTGACTCATGTCTGAAGAGTAGTAGGCTAGCTATCTTCCTGTCTGTGTGTCTGTGTGTGTGTGTGTGTGTGTGTGTGAGAGAGAGAGAGAGAGAGAGAGAGAGAGAGACATTAAAGTCACATGAGTATCACATCATTTTTCGACACACGCACTGAACACTAAAAAAGTGGACTTGTTTTTAACATGTCGCATTCCAACATTAACAGCATCTTCGATTTGACTTGAGAAAATCCCTCTAATTTACCCTTCTACATTTTGGGGATCGCAGTGGCAAACCACAGACAAAGATGACCATGGAAACTTAATGGGATTTGTTGGCATTCTTCAATATGAAAAATACTTCCTCCTAACACCAATGAAATTAACAAAAGACCATTGTAAATGCAACCCCACTTGTACCGCCACACACTCAAACACAACCATCCTAACAAATCCTAACATTTTCATATTTTCTGATTTTGGAAAACTATCATTACATCACAGGTCATAAACTAATGTGGAAACGATTAGTCAGTAAATCCACTGTTGACTGTCGTCAATCAGATCATTGATTTATTATCGATTGCTTATCATAAAAAAGCCAAAAAATCTTTTTGTTGGTTTGTTTGTTAATATTATTTTAAACCCAAGTATCTCTGGGTTTAGACTCTTGGTTAGACAAAAAGTTGTGTGATGACGTCACCGTGAGTCTTTGGGACTATTTCTTCCCATGTCTTCACCTAAAGCATACACTATCAACTGATTATTTATTGTTTTATTATTTTATTTAGCCCACTATACCTGCATAAGCAAAATTCGTGATTTTGTGTGACTGCTGGTGTTGATTTGTCATGTTTTTTTCCCTCCCCAGAACACAAGGGTGTAGGTTTTATTTCATTTCTGAGAAGGATACATACAAAGTGCGGTTGCCAGAAAATTTTCAGCGTCAAAACACTTGATATCCCCCATGCTGGAGGAATTTTACGCACCGATTTCTGGCTTTCCTGCACGCATTTATGGTGTGAATGTCTTTAATTCTTCCAAAAGTCTTCTGTTACTTTCTGTTATTGAGGGTAGTTAATCCAAGCGTCCCCCAACCCAGAACGTCAAAATGTATGTTAAAAATTCTAGCCTTCTTGGAATAAACGGTTTGAATAGCCTTTTTTAATTAACGCAGCCTAATAGGCCTGAAGGTCTGTTTGGTTTTCATGCCATGACCACCAAGATGTTAAGAGTGTAGTCTTGCCTCTAATAATGTCCCCTCCACTCTCCCGTGTCTCCCCTCTCTTCCCCTCACCCCCACCCCCCCAGTAGCTGCGGGTAGGAGGCGGGGCCGGCAGACCTACAGCCGCTACCAGACCCTGGAGCTGGAAAAGGAGTTCCTCTTCAACCCCTACTTGACCCGGAAACGCCGCATCGAGGTGTCGCACGCACTGGCTTTGACGGAGCGGCAGGTGAAAATCTGGTTCCAGAACCGGAGGATGAAGTGGAAGAAGGAGAACAACAAGGACAAGTTCCCCAGCAGCAAGAGCGAACAGGAGGCGGTGGAGAGGGAGAGGAGGGAGAAGGAGCTGCGGGATGGCAGCGGAAGTGGAGGCGGAGAGGGTGGTGGTGGAGGTGCTGAGGGAGGAGGAGGCCCCGTGGCGGTGGCGGGCACGGCGGGGCCACAGGCCACTGTAAATGAGGATTGTTGCGAGAAAACCCACAAGCAAATGTAAGGAGACAAGCGGTGAAATTAAGGGGAAGAAGTGAAAGAGGTGGAGGGCGAGGAGGGTGTAAGAGTTGGACAAGAGGGGGTGAGGGGGGGTGGGGGTGGGCGAGGGGCTGTTGTTGTCTTAATCGAAGCCATTGGACTGCTCCGTTGTCTCCACAATTCAATTGATGGAAAGGAACTTGAGTCTTCAAAATGGCGACTGGCGGGCCGGACGGACTGGAGGGGCCTCGCGCCTCTGTCTGCTGACTGTAAAAACCGCGGGAATTAAAAAAAAAGAAACAATGAAGCAAGAAAGTGAACTAAAAAAATACAATTGATGAGGGCGGGGGTGATCCATCCAAGTCAAATAAACATAGTCTACTCTAGTGTTTAAAACAAACAAAAAATGAAAGAAAAATGATAGCTTCCTTTCTTTGTGGAACAATTATTGTGGAAACATTTCTATATTGTTAGAAGTTTATCATTAACAATTTTATCTTTGGCAGCTGTATAGTTTTTAAGTTAAAAAAATGATGATGGTGCACTTTTTACTGTACTTCTCACTTCTATGTTGTTGTTGTTGTTATGGCAATGATTGATTGATGATGATGATGATAATGATGATGATGATGATGATGACGTAGCAATTAATGAAATTTCCAACAACATGAAACTGCCTATTTATGCCGTTTTAGTAGGTCGGGTCTCTTTTTTACACACTCTAATTGTCGTTTCTCGTTTTAGTTCGTTTTTTGATCGATGGTGTTTGTTTTATGTTGTCTTCCTTTTTCTCTTTTTTGGGTAAAAAGCATGCGCACAGTGCAGATTAAAAAAGAGAACATTCATAAAAATAAAAAGGAGGAAAAAATGTAATAAAATGTTGCGTTCTGCATTTAATGTGAAACAGAGCTCTGCTGGTGAGGGTTGATTTCCTGGATGTAATCTTTCACTCATGTTTCGCTCGATGACGATCAGTTGAGAGTTGGAAGTTAGAAGTCAGAGATAGAAAGAAAAAGAAAGAAAGAAAGAAAGAAAGAAAGAAAGAAATGTCAGAGGAGTTGCTTCCCCCTTTCGTTTTACCCACACTTACTCCTCATCCTTTCCCTTATTCTCCCCGTTTCCTCACTCGCCTCTTCTCCTTTCACCTCTCGCCTTCCCTCCCCACTTCTCACTGTACACTCTGTCAGCACCCAGACTGATAAAACCGTTCAGTTCACGAGGCCAAACATTTAAGCCTCGACTCGGAAATCTCCTCTTAAAACAACAGACGCCCCCCCCCCCCCCCCCCCCCCCCCCCCCCCCCCCCCCCCCCCCCCCCCCCCCCCCCCCCCATCTTCCTCACACCCATAACCGTCCACCCACTCACACACACAGAACCCACAGCCTATCCAAACATCACTTTATTTATTGCCTGGTTCTCCACCTCCACTTACATTATTACAGACCTCTATATTCACTATTACGCTGCCTTCCATCATCATCAGGATGACGACTTGAGGTCGGATTGTTTCCATATGGGGAGATCAAACACCGAGCATGCATATTTAGCAGCATCTATCTTAATACGCTGGACTATAGCTTGTTATTCAGACTATATGGAGCGCCATATCCCAGTGATATCAAAGCACCAAATATTTATCCGATCAGGTTTCCAGTTATTAATTGGAAAACAGACGCGGGATAAAGGAAGTCAAACACAACCGGTGGAGTAGTTTGCGTGTGAGCCTCATTCAGGCACAGACAAAGGCCGCAGACTTCACATACAACCGGAGCTGCGTCCACCAAATAATGATAATGACATAAGAGTGCACACTAATGCAATTCGTTTTATTTTAACAGTTGCAGCTTTTCCCATATTATTGTTGAGCAGACGCGAGTTTTAAAAAAAAGTGTCTCTGGTTTTTTGTTTCCACATAGAACAAGTATCTTATACTATACAACAAGAAGGCTAGTTTACAAACATGTTGAGTAATAAGCAGCAGATAATTCTGATAGAATAAGATAATTTTTAGGTGTGCCAACTCTGAAGATACACATCCAAAGAAGGATTGTCAAACAGGCAAAGTGGACAACCAAGAACTAAATCCCCAGGTTCATCTGTGTCAGCCGGCTTTTGCTCATCTGATTTAATGCATATTTGTGTGATTTTTTTTTTTTTTTTTTTACACTACAGCACTGTATAAACAAAGACAGGTTTTGTTTCATGTTGTAGCCTTGCCTTTCAGAATCTAGTTTGGTCTCGCTTATTATCATATTGTGCTCACATGGTGAAAGCTCAAACTGCATTTAATGAAATGAGTGTAGACGATCTTGGGATTAGGTATGGCTGGAACAGAAAACTGTCTTAGGGCTCCTTGTGAGACTTTATTCCAGCCATGCGCACATTTGAAGTGTCATTGTCAGACATTTGATGCCTGTCTCCCTCTTGATAAAGATTGGTGGGCCGCAATGAGAAAACGTCTAGGACATTACATCGCAGACAAAATATGATACGTTGTATTATATATATATTAGAATATTGTCAATTATCCAAACCATTAAGGACAATAGATAGAGGGATGATAATAATGATGTCATCAGGGTTATCGGTGGTAAGACTGCAGATCAGAATTCGAAGATATATTGGGATTTTTACTCAAACGCTATTTTTTTAATCAATGTGGTGAGTCTCTCAGCCCATGACAGTACAGTACTACATCGTTGCATTACTCCTTTAACTTGAGCGGCCTGCTCAGTGGGATGTGGACACGATGTTCCAACTGTTTGCGGTAACAACAACAGGGACATGGCACTTGCCCTTTTGAAAAGGTAAATGACTTTGTGGCACCGTGTAAAAAACAAAACACACATCCTGAGGGCATGCATGAGCACAGCCGCAGAACACACACATTGGACAGGCTCACAGTGTTTTCTGGATTTGACAAACAAACAGCCCCCTTTCTTTCTAATCCTTTAACTGCTCCACAACCTTCCCATTAAAAGGAAACATCACTGCATTTTTACGCACGCATAACGTCGGCCTGTTAAGCATTACACTCAGCGAAGAGATTGTATCCTGCTGAACTTGTGCTGCCTGGCGGGGAAAGGTCAACGTCACGGGTACGGATCTAAGCACCGAACCGACCACCTGCACGCCAGGTGAGTCTCCTCTCCCTGCGGGCAGGATTCAGTGCCAAATCAGACTTGAACTCAAAGGCGGAGGTGATTAATATCGAATGCCTTTGAGTGTGGAGACACATCGGCACTTATACCACCAGTTAAGATAAAATGTGCTTCTTGTTGTTTTTCTCCTTCTTCTTTTCTTGCAGGATTATAAAATAGATTGTGTTTCTTCTTTTGTTACATCCAACATCAACCATGCTTGCTTCCAACACCCACTCAGGTTTCGAGTTTTGTGTGCCTAGCTTACAGCTCTAATATTTCAAGAACCATGACACAACGATAAGAAATATTAACCTGCAATTCTTTATGTTTGGATTATTAGTTAAATTAAATTGGAGTGGGGCCTCTTGTAGCCGCAACAGCTGCAATCTTTCATTGTGAGCGTTATTGCAGAATGATTTTCAAAGTGACACGTCTGACTGCTTCCCTAAACGTCCCTCTTTTCTCTAATGTTGTTTATACCGTTTTCATCTGTTACTCTGCCTGCAGTCACCAGTCAGCAGCGGCACTCTGTAGGCAACTCTGGAGCAAACAACAGCCTGTTTTGTTCTGCTGTGTGGGACCCTTTCTTCTGCATGTGTGGTCTCTAAAAAGTACAAGTTTGGGATAAGACGACGTTTGTGGAAAACAGAGGAAATCCATCTTCTCTTTTAGGCTCCTCGGCAACTTTACGCACGCGCCTAGAGCCATTCCATTCCGAGTCCAATCAATATCACATCTACTGTTTTCCGCTTTTCGCTTCCAACTCAGCAAACACACAGTAAAGATTTAAATTTGAGTTGGATGTTTGTCAGCCTCAGCCGTTTTGTTTTCCAGCTCTACATGGGCTTGGTGATTAGTGGACACGTTCCAAGCTGCTGCGTATTGATTGTTTAATATAGATCGTTTTGTTGTGCTGTACTGGCTGTATTGTGTGTGTGTGTGTGTGTGTGTGTGTGTGTGGTCACTCCCTCTGTGTTGCAGCTAATTTCTACCATGATAATATTGCATCCCTGAGGGAAACCCCCGTCGGCCATTGGGCATCCTGACATCACATGGACCCGAGGTCACGTGGTCCGCGAAGCAGAGGGAGGGGAAGAGAAGAGTGGGGTGGGGTGAATTTTTGTGTAAATCTAGACAGTAATGCCCTGCCGATAATTCACGGTGCCTCGTAAAAAGTCGGCATTAAAGCGCCCCGGGCCTACAAATCACCGGCGCCAAATTATGAATACGCTGGACTTCACCAACGCGCTGTTTTCCAAATACCAACAAACCGCTGCGAGCCGCTCCGCTCTTATCTTCAGAGATTCTTCAACTTATTCCTTCCCGACTTCCTCTGCTGCTCCTGTCGTGTCTTCTTCGTGCGCCCTCGTGTCCAGCGGATATCACCTCCATGTCTCCAGTGAGAGAGACGGTGAGGAGCTCCCTCTCCCTCCCTCCTTGGTTTCTTCATCTCCTTCCTCCTCCTCTTTTGCCCCCTCCTCTTCTTCCTCAGCGTTCTGTTTGTCTCTTTCGGGACTGAACCGCTGTAGCAGGAGAATTCAGCCCTGTTCGCAACCTTTCAACCCCGCCCAAGTTCGCGCAGGGGGGGCATGTAGCGTGCTGGGAGACGGGTCGCTGAGCTCCTCTCCGCAGGGATGCACCGTGGAGCGGTTCCCCGGTCGGCCTCAGCTGTGCTCACTGACCAGACTCCCTGAGCCGGCCTGCAGGAGGCAGAGTTGGCCAGAGCAGCAGCAGTTGGACGACAAGGAGCTACGGATTTACCCCTGGATGAGAAGCTCAGGTGAGGAGAGAGAAGAGGTGATGGGGGTGGGGGTGGAAAAGATATGAGAGGTGATGTGATAATTTGCGGGGCTTCACAGGTGAGTTGGAAGGAGGAGCGGTAGGAGGACGTGACGACGGGGGGGGGGGGGGGGGGGGGGGGGGGGGGGGGGGGGGGGGATTTGTTCGACCCAATAATTACGTTAAACGCTCTTTAAACTGTTGGCCCGGTTGCGCAGCGGCCACTGCCGGTGGCTGAACTATGCCTTTCTGTCTCTTTCTCTCTGTCACTTTTTTTTACAACCCCTCTCCCTCTCTTTGCAGATCTTTTATGGCTCTGCGACCTCCATAAAACCATAATTTAAGACTTGGTGAATATTCATTAGTATTGTATTTAAGAAGGGGGTAGGAGAGAGCAAGGGTGCCTGGAGTCCCAAATATCCCAAATTGTTTGAAAGTGAAAAAACCTCCAAACAAACTCTTTTTCCTCTCCCGGTGCTCACTGTTATCGCTCATATTCAGTGCTTGGCTCAGCTCAGCTCAGCCTCTCCGCCCCGATAGTCTTGTGTTTCTCTGTCAGTACTATCTGGCCCACTGAAAGCCTATTGTGCTATTGTACTGTCACCACAATCCGCTAATACTATAAACACTATAAATTAGCAGATGGGTTTGATCTTTGAATGCCTGCCCTTTCCCCCGATTGTAAAAGCGGCATTGTGAGACAGCAGCAGGCTGGATGCTGAATAGGTGCGGGGCCTCGGAGCCTCGAACAACAACAAACACACAGCACAAAGAGCATTTGTATGTTTGCGTTAAAATACTGAATGGTAGTGCGTAAAAACCGGGAAGTATGGTGAGAGTGTTTGTGCGTAAAACGTGCTTAAAAGTGAGGGAGATGTCCCCAGACACGGCAACGTGGAGACAAAAAGGAGACAAGAAAGATTGTTAAAACTTGCGCTCGCTTTATACGTAACTCAGTGAGTGGAGCCCTTGTGTGCGCTCGTATTTTTAGTGGCACGGTGGACTTAAAGTATGTGCGTAAATATGGCTCTTGTGGAAATACGATCTGTTCACTCAACTTTTACAGATAGTCAGGTAAAATATTTCAGTGTTACGATGTTCGTTGCTTTAACAAAACTAACACACACACACACACACACACACACACACACACACACACACAGACTCCAGAGCTCAGCCAAGCTCACTCGGAAATTATGTTCAGAGAAATTTGGTCCCTGCTCATAGAAGCCTCTTGGCTGCTGGATAGCTTTTCCTCGTCGCCACAGACTTCCTCATTTACATATTACCATCACATTACTGTAACATCCTCCTGTCCCTCTGCCGCGCGTGTGTGTGTGTGTGTGTGTGTGTGTGTGTGTGTGTGCAAAGCCATGTTTATGAGATCTTTTCAATCTGAATACTGTGTGATAAGGAGAGTGAAAAAGGAAAGTGGCATCATGAAATTAAAAGTATTTAATCTGCTTGCCTTTCAGGCTCATAAAGTCAAACAAATTGGTTTTGGGTCTTTTTTTGTTTTGAAAGGCCAGAGTGGAGACGACAACACCTAATATGCAATATTATATAAATGCAATAAACGACAGTGAAAAAAATATACATCACATCTCTATGACCTATGAGGAAAACCACTTCTGAGCTGAGGTTAAAAAAAGAGAAAACTATATTTGCAATATTCAGATTTATTCCTGGCATCATAATGAAATAGAAAGTGCAGGAGAACAAGTAGTACACGAAAACAGGAAATGCGAGACATAGCCCGTGTGTTTTTTCGTGTGTGTGTGTGTGTGTGTGTGGAGGGAGGGGCTGTGGTGGGGTCAAACAAGCCAGCCTGTGTAATGAATTTATAGATTTTAATTTAGATTCGATTCCCGTCCAGTCCAAGATGATTGGAGGGAGAAGTCCCGGATGTTCCCGTTAACAGCGGCGAAAAAACCGCATGAACGCTTATTAAAGCAGGCGCTCGACCTGTCAGTGGGACGCGCGTGTGCACGTATATAAACACACTGATTCACCACTCGTTTTCTAAGTGTATTTGTGTGTGTGAGAAATGGAGAGCACAATACAGTTCATTCTAGTTGTTGATTGCAGAGAATTCCAACGCCAGCTAGAGCGCGAACAAATCACCGCCGACAGCACGAGAGCAGAAAATTACACACACACACACACACACACACACACACACACACACACACACACACACACTTTAACATATCACCTCGATAAGGAGCAAAATGAGAGTAACACACAGATAAGCACACACTCGCACACAGACATACTCAATCACACACACTTCCACGCTGCTGACACTCAGTCACCCACACATACTGACCGCTGCCATCGATAAGCTGTGGCGCGCACACAGATACACGCAGACGCACACACGAAGAGGCGTTGCAGACAAAATCACGTGAGCAGGAACACACACGGTAGAGAAACATGATTGTGTGAACAGAAATGTAATTCAAGCTTTTGAAGAACAGCAGGTGATGAGTGCTCTATTTAAATAGGCCTACACTTATTTTAGAGGATCATGGGATTTTTATCGGTACTCTGGCGTTTCCTGTGCCAGACATCTTTAATGCTATGGTAACATAGAGAAGAATACAGTATATGTTTGTAAATATATTATATTGAAAGTATTATTTTTTCTCCGCTACTCTCCTCTCAAATTAGTAGACATAGACAGGGCCAGAAAAAGCTCTATGAATGTTTTTTAATTCATTATTTGTACAGACACATATTCATCATGTTACATAAATACGCCTAAGAAATAAATAAGATAAACACAAATAAACACTTGAAATTAAAATAAGTAATATAATGTCATCAAATGGACGAGCCAAGAGGGGACAAAGTAAATGTGTAAATGTCTTGCAAAATAAATAAGAATACAATAAATAAATAGATGGATTTTCCTCTGATATGTATTTTGTTATAATTTGCAACTAACTCCAAAACGATATTGAGGGATTTGGAAAATGAAATTCAGCACGCAACATTTGATCAACTCTGTATGTGTGTGTGTGTGTGTGTGTGTGTGTGTGTGTGTGTGTGTGTGTGTGTGTGTTTGTAAGGGAGAGAGACAGGGAGAGAGAATGACAGAAAAAAATAGGAAGTAAAAAAAAATCAGATATAAAAGTTATCATCCTCTGACATTGTTCAAAGTGTTTTATGGGAGCAGAGCTGAAACGCACTGGCTCAATCATTCCTAACATGTTACATACACACTGGACTGTTAGCTGTTCAGTACATTAAAGGTCCAAAACAAGCAGAATCTAGAAATACTGCAGTCATGAGGCAAAGTCCCCCCATCCCCAGCCCTCCCCATTTTTGATTTATATATCTGAAGTTATAATATATGCATGATATTTTCTGCACTTCGTTTGCTAAAATGAGATTATGTTTCAAAGCCATATTTCATAGACTTCTTGTGTGATGTTATCTGTTATGAATCAGAGGTCCTTTATATGGTAAACTTGGTGAAATTTATGATTTTAAAAAGTGTCAAAACATGTCTATTCTCTCCAGAGCCTGTAAAATACCCTCCCTGTGGAAACAGAGTGTAAATTCCCTCTTGGTTGTTTAAACCTCAAAATCCCAGGAAAAAATACAGAGGACATGACCTCAGTGTCCCCTGTAGCAGCTCCATGCCTGGTCATATAAAAGCAGCAGTCCTGCAGTGAGTGTAATAAAGCTGTTGCCTGCAGTGCCATATTATAGCCCAGCCTGTGTCTGCATGAGAAGCTTGAAAATCAATATCAGAGTAAATCCATTTTCTTTCTTCAACTCATTTACACCCAGAAAACAGACAGTTGGAGGTTGAGACTTTATGTCCAAAAGATTTATACTAGACTCAGGGGAAAGTGTCCGTGCTGCAAAAATGTGGTGAACCATTCCTCTGATAAGAAAAAAAAAACAAAAAAACATTTTATCTCATAGTTTTAGAGCTCAGCTGATGGGCTGTACTAAATAAAAAAGTAAAAACATTTAGAGTGAAAGTTGTCCATCACATCATCATTCTGTATTTCCTGTGTTTATACCCTTGTTGCTCCTCTCTTCTGCTCACTGTCTGGTCCGGTGAAGATTTCAACAGAAAATCTTCCATCACTCATTTATGAGGCTTCACTAAACACCAGCTAATGCTGTTAAAGCAGGCACAGACAGCCACAAAGCCCAGGCTGAGTTTTTACAGGCTGATCGTTGCATTTTATTGCAGTGTGAGCCAGGGTCTGTTTAGAGATTCCACAGGAGAACAGCAGAAATGTACAAACCAGAAACCAGAAAGGTACCCTTTATCTGTTTTGTAAAGAGTTTGAGGGTTTCTGTTTTTGTTTTTTCTCTCTCAAAAGATATCAATTTTAAAAACACTTAAATTTAACAGCTTAACAGTAGCATTCAAAACTCAAACCTTTATCCCCACTGGCATCTCTACGCATATTGCACCAACTCATCTGAATCCCAGAGATTCCTCAGAGGAGTTTTCTATTCAGGGAACTCTACAGAGGAATTGAGTTTGGACATTTATGTGGCCGGCAGCCGACCTCTGAGCTGTGAAAATGTGACCCAGTTTCTCCTTAACCTTCAGGCTTTGCATGACCTCATGAAGGGAGAAGGTCACCATGGTTTCTGTGGTCTTACTCAGCACTGACTCATGCACATTTCACATGGATTTGTTTTCCTGTGAATCAGATTAGTGATGGTCCTACCATGCCTGCTGTAGCAGCCTGACTCTCAGCATGTTCTTATCTCGATTATGGGTCTGTTTCTGCTAAACGTATTCGCTCAGAGAAACAACTACTGGAAGTCCCTACAGAGCATGACGAAAGTCAGATTTTTGCTCTTTTCCCCCTTTAATTCATTTCCTTTAATTATTTAGTTGACCCAAACATCTTCTTTAAGTCTAAACACTGTGAAGTAAATATTGAACATTGGCCCAGACAGACAGCAGCTGAACCAACAGTTAAACCACATCATTGAGTAACTACTCTTCAGTGTTTACAGAGCCACAAGTCAATGTGTTTGTCAGGAAGTAGAGGTGGCAACCAGTGGACACATCCCCCACAATATTTTGAACATGGACATTGCCCCATCCCAGTAAAAACACAAATGTAGCAGATGACTTTTATTTTAATAAAATTAAAGACATTTCCACCATAAATTGATGCAGAAAAGGTCCGTAATGTTGCAAATCTCACCACAATGCAGGAAATTAAGGGTTTGATGCTCAAAATTTCCAGGGAGAGAGTCCCAAAGTTTCACCTTTCATATGTGTCCTCCCCAGTGTTGAAACACAACCTAAGACCTTGGACTAGTGGATGCAAAGATACAAGCAGGTTTTAAGAGGTTATAAGGCTTTATTTATTAATTCAATTTGGAAAGTTATTTCAAAGATGAAAGTTATTGATAGAGACATTATAGAAGCTTCTTTCAAAAATTAATTTCAAAATGTTTGCAAACATGGATACATTCAAAGCAAATGCTGCCAGGTTTTGATAATGCCAGTGATGAAACTAAGATAAATATA